TTAGACACTGTAATATGACGCTAATTTAATTCTGCTTTATCTTTTTTTTTTAACAGCATCTCAGAGTTATGATACAGTCTAGTATATAAATTTACCACAGCAATCCATTGTGTGACTGGTGAACTGGCCCCAATGCCTATTTCCAGGATTTTCTAGATTACTTTCAATTTTCCAAGTGCCACACTGTTGGGATTTCTAGGCTGCAAGATGTCAGATCACCAGTCTCAACAGCAACAAGTTGATAGTTTATCTCCTGTGGCTGTAAATACCCTGAGCATTTAGCTGAATGTCCTCCTTGGAAAACTGCCTGAGGAATGGAGGGATAGCTTTCCATCACACTCAAAAGGCTCTTTGTGATCAGTTCCCCAAAGTACCAGAGGAGAGAAAGCAGAGCAGGAAGGAAGGTGGTTCCAGGCAGGCCATCTTCCTTCAGTGGCTCTTGTTTAGGAAGAACCTAGCAGTGAATGCTCTTTGAACTATCACTGGATTACATAGTTTGTAATGAATTTTGGAACCTTATTTTGTTTAACAAAAGATTTTAGAAAAAAGAGAGTATAGTGCAGAGGAAACAGCACACGCTCTGGAGGCAGGAGACCTAGGCCAAGCTTTCCCCTCAGCCTCTGTGACCTTGAACGCTGAATCAATGATTGCCACAGTCATTCTCACTTACCATCATCACTGCACCCCAGGCTTCTCCGAGTGGTCAGGCCTGGAAGCCCAGTCTGCTGGAGCTGATCCTTCCACACATGGGACCAACACCTTTTTACCTGGATTGATGCTGGCTTGACCTCCAGAAAGAATGGAAGCCACAGTGTCATATATTTCATTCTCTACTATCACACACAGCACCATGCTGGGGAACCACAATCTAATGCATGTATTTCCTACCGTATAGGGTGAAATAAAATACACAGGAGAAAACCATGTAGGAAAATATTCAAGTTGTCCATGACTTCCTGGCTAGACCATCTGCTGTGAAAGAGGAATGGTTTCTATGTGTGCATTTTGTTATCAATGAAGCAATGTGGTTGCCACCTAATGTGGCCCCAAGAAAAGATCATATCTACAATAGTTATATATTTAGAGTTAACATTTAAAGAAATCAGGACTTCAGACTTAACTATACATTGAAAGACTTAGCTACACGTTGAAGTGCTGAGTAGAAGTAACCCAAGAGTATGTGTCCAGATCTGATAAAAATTAAAAATTAGATTTGTCTGCAGCTTCATTTGGGTTCATTTACTAGGAGTCAGGTGCATATTATGTTTTCTGTTGGAGAGCTCAGTTGGTTCCTGCTAGACCTGAGGGAGGGGTGGTGTGATATTGGTGGGTTCCCAGTGACAGTGTTTTGTGTTATTAGAACCATGGGCGTTCTAATAACAAATCTACTAACTCTGTTCCCAGAGTTCTTTTTCAAGGAGCTGCTCGGAACCAGGTACCATGACATAGTGATAGGAGGTCAGGTCCCCGGTAGCTGGGGCTAGTCAAGCATTCATAGTGATTTTCGCGCCAGTTCCCCTCCAGCCTTTCCATGGAAACGTGCAGGATCCCAGAGTGGTTAAGATAGATGTGGGTTTGAGCCTGGGCTGAGCCACTTGCTAGTTGTGTAATCTTGGCTAAGTTACTTGACCTCTCTGAACCTCAATATCTGGAAGTTACAAGTGCAGGGACTGGTCTCAGCTCTGCCACCAACAGATTCTGTGACAAGGAAGGCTGTGCTGAGAGGTCCCTAACAGTTTTAATATTTTATTTTAAGGCTTCCTTCTTCGTCCTTTTTGAAACAAACCGAGCTGGTTTTATTCTATCAGGAGAGAAAACAGCTAGAAGTGCCCATTCCTGTTGGTTTTTAGAGATTTGTTTCCGATAAGGCTTCACTACAGCTGCTGGTTTTGAAACAAACCGAGCTGGTTTTATTCTATCAGGAGAGAAAACAGCTAGAAGTGCCCATTCTTGTTGGTTTTTAGAGATTTGTTTCCGATAAGGCTTCACTACAGCTGCTGGTGGTAGCACTGTCTTTTCTTCTCTGATCAGTCTCTGGGATGGGCACCGTGGCAGGAAGGCTGGCCTGTGCATGCTTCTGCCTGAGGTGAGCTGAGGAACAGTGACCCAGGCCTCCCAGAGCCCTTTCTGTCCTTTCCTTTGCCTCTAAAGAGAATGACTCCTTCCTCTTTAAGAGCAGTAGCAGGACCAAGGGAGAGGGCCACAGGCAGGGCCATTTGGCCCAGGCCTTCTCAAAAGCATTATCTTTAACTGAAATGCCCCCATGTCTGGCCAGACCTGACAGACAGGCCAAAGCCCAGGTGAGAAGCCAGGGAAGCCAGGAGCACCTGGGCGTCCTCACTCAGGCTCTCAGCAGGCCCAGCCTGGCCTGGGGCCAGCGTGTTATTGTCTTACTGTGGCTGGGAACACGCCGGTGAGTGTAGCTTCAGATAAGCAGTCGTGGCTCCCTCAGTCTCCTGGGGAAAGGCGTGCTGTGGGCTGAGCGGTCCAAACAATGAAGAAAAGGGTGGATGGCTCTGAGTCTGCCCAACGAAAGATTTAGAAGCAGAAGCTGCCCTGGCTTAGGTACAAAGGTATTTAATTGCAAAGGTGTTTCTGGCTGAGTAATGTCCCCCAGGAACAAAGGATCTGTTGGGTGAGAGCACAGAAGAGCGTTTGTCTTTCAGTACCAGAACGTGCCCCAAGCTCTTGAACAGACCTGATAAGAGCTCTCTGCTGATTGGCCAGGCTGACTGCTCAGTAGAGAGAGACCATCTGCTCTTTCCTCCCAGCTTAGTCCAACACCAGCAAAGTACACCTGTGGCCAGCATGAGGTAGGAGCTCAGCCAAGGTTGGCTGCACCACATGACATAATATTACATGCTTGATTGTATTGCGTTTCCACAACATAATCCTGTGAAGTTACAACTTTTAGAGGCTCAGAGGAGTTAAATAACTTTCTCATGAGCAAACAGCTAATAAGGGGTGAAGGCTGGATCCAAACCCAGGTCTTTATTCTTACACTATATGAGTAAATCCACTAGCTTAGTTCAAGCTAGGAGTGTCCTAAAATTGTTGAGTTAGAAAACAGATGCTTAGGTGAAAGAAGATCTATTGAGTAACCACTGAGACCAGCCTGACTCATGTCAGGATTATAACAGCATTCAGCTGAGCCTTCATTTGGTGCTCCGGGGCACACTGCCCTCTGGGTATTCCTTCAAGACATACTAACACACCCTGCCCTCTCTTACAGAATTTCTGATTTAAAACAGACGTGTATACAGATAGACCAGTCACCAGCTGTAGAATGCCAGAATCAAAAAGGAATTGCTTATTTATTTCAATATCCTTATTTTAAAATGATGAGACCAAGGTCAAAGGATACTTATAGCTTACCATGGGCCCAGCACTGTGCTAAACACATTTTTTTGCAGTATTTAATTTCACAAAAATGTCAATCGGAGATAGATTAAAATAATGCCCACCTTAGGAATGAGGAAACTTGAGGTTCAGAAGGGTAGAGTGACTTGTCTAATGTCCCAGAGCTAATCAGTTAAGGAACCAGGATCTGAATCCAGGTCAGTCTACTCCAAAGCATCTACTCTCAACCCCCACATCCAGTCCAGGTCTTTCCTTCAAGAGGTTCAGAAGGGTAGAGTGACTTGTCTAATGTCCCAGAGCTAATCAGTTAAGGAACCAGGATTTGAATCCAGGTCAGTCTACTCCAAAGCATCTACTCTCAACCCCCACATCCAGTCCAGGTCTTTCCTTCAAGATGCTGTAGCAGATGCTCAGCTCTGCATTTAGCTCCCACTGCCACCCACCCCCTCCCCACTGACCTGAAAACAATGCCTCCCTTGTCCTTAGCACCAGCCACTCTCCTGCACTCAGGTTCAGCCCCTTTCTGGCATTAGCAAGAAGCTTCTCTTCCCAGTACTGGTGGTTATTTTTTAAAGTGTGAAATAAGTATAAAACAGGATATTTTCAGTAAATATCTCCCTGCTTATACAACAAAGTGGTACCAAAAGCACTGACTTATAGCAGATGTATGGTTAGTTTTTGCAAAGATGAATCTATAGCAGTCCATTGGAAGGCTGCAGTGCCCTGGATGAATGAGAGGCTGAGCTTCAAGGGCTGGGCCCTGCTGACATTCTGGCAGAGGAGCCTCTTGCCTGCTTCCACCAGAAGTGAGGATTCCCAGAGTCCTAGAGCACAGAGTTGTCAGTGAAAAGGTCTGAATTCAAATCCAGCCTGAGAATCCTAAGCCTGTGAGCAAGTTACTTAACCCATTCATAAGGAGCTGCAAGGGTTAATTATGTAATACATATGTATTACATTATTTCATGTAATAATGTACATGAAAATGCCCAATGACAGTATGTTGGTTAAACTTCAAACCTGCCAGCAACCCCATTCCTTCCCCATAATGGTATTCTGAGAATTACCATATTTTAAGATGAAATGTGTATTTAAGAGTATATAGAAGCATCATGGAAAATTCTAGACAGCAGCAGACTCTAAGAAATGTGTGGGCTTTAGAAAGTTCTCCTTCCCATCCCCCAGCCTCTACAATGTGTTTATCATACTTCTAGCGTGATAACACTTTCTTTTCCTTTGGCCTATTGTTTACTTGGTGAGCATTTATAGAATGCCAGCTCTGTGCCAGGCACAGCACATGAGTTTTTAGGAGACATCACATCTGCCAACACAGAGCATCTTGTGCAGATCCTGGAAAACTACAGGCTGTGGGATCTTTCCTATCAAAAGCTGGGGAACATTTGCCCTCTTTTGAGACTCCCTGTTTCCTGGTTCTACCTTGGAGCATCCATCTAAGGCATGTGGTCCCGCCTCTCACCCCACCAGCTCCAGTGGCCCTGCCTACAGGATTGCTGGGAGATTGTGCAAGTCTTTGGCCCGGCTTCAACTTGTCATGGCTTTTCCCCTACTTGTGATCACAGCCAAGGGAAAGCCTGGTGCCTGGCTCTGAGGCCCACATGGAACGGGATCCCGGAAGGACTTACCCGATGGCTTGTCTGTGGAGGATGGGAGGCTGGTGAGGGTAGGCATAGTGGGCAGAGGTGGTGGCAGCACCTTCAAGTTCTGGTCACTCTGGATCTCATTGGTGGAGATCTGGTTGATGATGCGGTTATAGGTGGGTGGCTGGTAGACCCGGGGCGGGGAGGCAGGGGGCGGCTGGGGGACAGGCCTGGCGGCAGGCACCCGCTGGCAGTGCTCCTCAAGCTGCGCGATGATCTCTGATTGGTTGTGGGCCAGCGTGGCCAGGTGCTGGTACTTGTGCTCCAGGTCCTTGTACTTGCTGGCCAGCTGCAGCATGTCGGCCGTCTGGTTAAGGATCCTGTTCTCCAACTGGGAGAGTTCCAGCGCGTTGTCCCGCTTGCGGATGATCTCATGCAGGAGCTGCATGTAGAGCTGTGTGACCCGCGAGTTCATGTTGCGGCTCTCCTTGCGCAGCAGCTTCACCTCGCTCACAATGCCACCATCCACCTCCACCAGCTGCTGAAGCGTCTCAATCTGCCGCTTCTGCTTGAGCAACTCATTGTTGAGCAGCTCCAGCTCCTGCTTGTGCACTCGGTTCTCTAGGAGCACCTCGGGTTCCTTGGAGTTGACACAGATGGCACCTGTGACCCGTTGCTGGGGTACGATGAAGGTGTAGGTGCACTTGTCCGCAGACTCGCTCGCCCGCTTGTACCTGTTTAGGTAAATGAACTCTCTTGGCGAACCCTCCTCGGTGCCCTCAAAACCATCCTCCTGGCCTGCAGCAGCTCCCATGGCAGCCAGCAGTCCCAGCCACCAGCACGTCACGCACAGTGGCCTCATGGTCCTTGCAAAATGGTGGCTATTCTTTATGAATAGAATCTATGAAAGCCTGAAAGTAAACAGAGGGGAGAATCAGAGACAGTCCCACCACTGCCAGTGGCCTGAGCCAGCAGTGATCCCAGCCTTCTTGTCAGGCAGAGATTTCCAAAAATGCAGCTTCAAGAAGCTGCGTTCTACTCTCCTGGAGTCAGAGAGGAGGGCAGTCATTCTGGAAGCAAGAGAGGGAGCCATGCAGGCCCCATCAGAGGTAAAAAGGAAAGAGGAGGGATTTGGAGCATCTGAAGGCAGGAGGCCATAGCCCTGTACTCCCGGAGCCAGCTCTAATGTCCACAGCCCTCTTACTAAGCTGGCCTGGAGCCTGAGAACCACATCTTGGCAACTTGAAGCCGGAGAGGGGAGGTGGGGAATGGGGGGGGAGTTGTCCCATCGCCCTTCTTCTCTGCCTCAGTTCTTTCCATTCTACACTTTCATAACCACCTGAACTTTTCTCTTTTAAAACCATCACATTTGTGATGAATGGCAATTCTGTTTGATCTCTGCTGGACTCTAAGCTCCATGAAGACAGGTACTGTGTCTGATTCAACCTTGCATCCCCAGGATGTTGCTCTTAGCAGGCTTTCAGCAAATATTTGTTAAATGAATGAATTGCTAGACACTGTATGGAGTGTGTTCAGTTTGTAGTGGACAATGTCAGTGGAAGGATATGTCCAGTCACGTGGCTCTGGTCTGTGTGTTAGCTGTGCTACAGAGCCCAAATAGGAACAAACAACTGAGTTCTTCTAGATCGTAATTTTTGCAATAGCCAGTGACTGTACTGTCCTGATCATTGCAGTGTAATTAAATCAGACGGAAGCAGAACACAGACACATGGCTCCCAATTTGTTTCAGTTCTGTTCTTGGACCATTCATCCTTTCACCAGATGTCCACTGAACATCTGCAGTGTGCCAGGCAGTGTGCTAGCTGCTGGGGATACGGCTGTAAACAGGACAGAGCCAGCCCCTGCCCTCACAGGGCTTCCACATCATTACAGTGTTCCCAAGTGTTGTGAAGCAAAAGTATCACATGCTACAAAAGGGTATAATGGGGAACTGGCCTAATTGGAGGGGTCACGAACACTTCCCTGAGAAAGTGACCTTTACTCTGACCCTTGAGGGATGAGTAGGAGTTAGGCAGCCAAGAGGGAGGAGAGGACGTGCGCTAGATGATCCCTCCTCTCGCCTCCTCGAGGGCTTTGCTCCAGCAATCCTCCCCCTTCTCTCTGCATCAGCAGTTTTCCTACAATCATGCTGTTACTTCTTTCAACTTAAAGAAAATCTTCTCTTGACCTCACATCCACTCTGCAGCTACTGTTCCATTTCTCCACTCTCCTTTTTAGCAAAGCTCTCCAAAGAGTTGCCTACCCTCTCTGTTTCCAGAAAGTTCCTCTCTTCCTATTCTCTCTTGAGCCCACCTCATTCAGGTCTTGCCCTCTCCCCTCCACTTCAAGTGCTCTAGACAAGATCATTATTGGTTCTCATGAATATTTTGCCTCTCAACACTGTGGGGACATAGTTGACAGCTCCGTTTTGGAACCTACTTTCCAGAATGCCACCCTTTCCTCTTGTCTGACTGGCTGCTTCTCATTCCATCAACAAATATCTGTTTGCTGGTTCATCCTCATATTCCTGTCCTCTTAGCGTCAGGGGGCCCAGCACTCAATCCTAGACTCTTCCTTATTTTGGCGATCTCATCTAGTCTGTGATACCTTTAAGAACGTTCGTTTCTCCAGCCTGGATTTCTCCCCTGGACTCCAGACTCATACTACCTGCGTGTGAGTGAGAAGAACATGCACTGTCTCTCTCTACACTCTTGCTCAGCAACAATCAACACAGAAGACCAACTTCTGTGACCACATGTGTGGGGATTTTTTCCCACCAGTAAGCAAGCAAACAGTTTCTCAGCAGACACCAGGTGGGTGTCCTCTAATTCAATTTCAACACTTTCTACCTGAAAATAGTGTCAGATCCATGTGTCAGGGTAAGGGCTCAGTCCCCAAGACTGCTGCGCCACCCCACCCCCTCCCTGCAGATGCCAGTTGAAAGTCCAGGTCTCTGGAACTTCTTATTGGCTGGCTATAAATCAGGGTTCCCACAACTCCTTCCTTGGGTTCAATTAGTTTGCTGGAGCAGCTCACAGAACTCAGGGGAATATGTACTTTTGTTTACTGGTATAATATAAAGGATATTACAAAGGACACAGATGGAGAGATGCAAAGGACAAGGTATGGGAGAAGGGACATGGAGCTTTCGTGCCTTCCTGGGCACCACCTTCCAGGAACCTCCACCTGTTCAGCTCTCTGGAAGCTCTCCGAACCCTCTGCTCTTGGGTTTTTATGGAAGCTTCATTACATAGGCACGACTGAAGCATGGACAACATGTAGAAATGTGATGGGACAAAAAGGGTCTGATCTAAGACTGACAGATGCTGGGGAAACCCAGAAAGGCCTGTCTGTTCAGATTTTTCTTCGCCTCTGTGTATAGCATTCAGACCCCCTAGGTGTGGGGCAGTACCTTCCTGGAATAGGGGTCTTATGAAGAGAAAAAAGAGCATGTGAAAGGAGGGCAGGAGAAGGTAAGAAGGTAGTGTGAGCCAGAACCGTGGATGAAGCCAATATATGAATATCATGATGTCATACTACCTCTTTGACATTTCCACTCAACTCTCTACAGGCATCTCAAACTTACCTTATCCAGAAACAAACTCCGGTTTTTCCCCACACTCTATCCACCCTGTTCATCCCAGTTGTCCTATGTTAGTAAATAGCAGTTCCATTCTAGTTGCTGAGACCAAAAACCTTGAGGTCATCCTGGACTCCTTTTTTTCATATCCCACATCTACTTCACCACTCAATTATGATAGCAGTATCCTAGAAATATTCCCAGAATCCTAGTGCTTCTCCCTACCTTCCTGCCACCCTCCTCACACAACCCACTTTCACCTCTCACCTAGATTATTGTAGTAGTTTCCTAGCTGGTCTCCCTGCCGCTGCCCTTGCCTACTCTACAGTCTGTCCTCAACCTAGCAGCCAGAGTGATCCTTTTTAAAAAGTCAGATCAGGTGACTCTTCTACTGAAAACCATCCAGTGGCTTCCCAGTTGAAGAAAAAGCTAGTGGACCCTAAGGCCCTCCGTAATCTCATCTCTGACCCCCTCCTCTTTGCTCATCCCCCCTCCAGCCACACTAGCCTCCTGGATGTTCTCCAAGTTCACCAAACACACTTATGGCTCAGGGCCTTTGCACTTGCTATTCCCATCCAGAACACTCTCGCCTCCTTTCTTCATTATTCACTCCCTTGCCTCTTTCAGGTCTTTGCTGAAATATCACCTTCTCAGTGGAACTGTCCCTGCTTATTTAGTTGAATGTGAGCTCCACGAAGGCAGGTTTGCTTTGGTCACTGCTCCATTAGCAGTGCCTAGCACATGGCCTGGAATACATAGGAGCTCGATAAATATTTGTCAATGGAATGGAAAGACACACCCACAACAGTTGCTGTGCACTGGGGAGTGCCATGAAGAGAGATACAGTGGAGCTGTTGGAACCTGTGGGCAAGTAACTGCCTCAGTGGGTTGGAGCTGCACAGAGGAGGGGCCACGTATTGTATTTATTAGTAACATTCACAACATCCATTTACTGAGTGCACACTATGTGCCTGACCCTGTGTGCTAAACATTTTGCGAATGTTGTCTACTTTCTTGTGTTCTCAAAATGTCCTTTTAAGGTAGATACTGTTATTTCAGTTTTACAGATGAGGAAACTGAGACTTAGAGAGGCTAAGAGACTTGCCCAAGATCATAAAGCTAGAAGGTGCAGTACCAAGACTCAGCCCTGGTCTGATGGACTTGAACCCTTAAACTCTGGTGTTAACATCACCACTTTCTTATTTCACGTTAATCTTTGCTAAAATAACAACCATGACACAGGACCTAGAGATTTGTCCTTCCAGGACCTCTTTGGGGGCTTCTCTGGTGAGTATCCTGAGGTGGACCATCCTGAGTCCACATTTTGCCAGTCAGTGGGCAGTTACAAAACAGACCCTGTGCTCCCAAGAGCCATGCTGAGCTGTTTTCCACTCAAATGACAAAGCCCAAGTATGGTCTCGATGGCTGGCTCAGGCCTTTGCGGCCAGGCAGAGAAAGGTGTTCGAGAGCTTCTGGTTTGGTTTCTGCTAGGTAGGGCTGCAGTGACGTCAGTGGAAACCAGGCTGAGTTTGGAAGTGTTTGCCTGGTTTCCAATGGCACTTTGGCTGCTCCTGTCCTGGTGGCCACACCCTGACCTGAGAACAATGTGGAGGGACCACCCCAGGCTAGGGCGGGCCTGCTGGGTGCTGCCTTCCTCACACTGCTCACCTGCAGGGGATGATGACAAACATGTCTCTGTGCCGGTTCCCGCGGTGGCCTCTGCAATGACCAAGAAACTGCTGAAGGCCCAAGGAAGCGACCTGGCTCCAGGAAAGGGTTGATTTCCAAACATTTCCAGGCCTACAGGCCTAGGAGGGCTGCACTGTTTACCACTGAGTTCTTTCCTCTCCCCAGTGTGGGCTCTCAAAGCTTCCTAGGCAAAGCTCTTGCCCTTGGACTTGAGATCTTGAAGGCTGAGCCTCTTCCGTGAAATGGGATGATGCAACCTACTTTGCACACTAGATTAAGCAACATGGGAGCACTTCAGAAACCATAGATTGGAGGGCTGGCCCGTGGCTCACTTGGGAGAGTGTGGTGCTGATAACACCAAGGCCACAGGTTCAGATCCCCATATAGGGATGGCCGGTTAGCTCACTTGGGAGAGCGTGGTGCTGACAACACTAAGTCAAGGGTTAAGATCCCCTTACCGGTCATCTTTAAAAAAAAAAAGAAAAGAAAAAAAGAAACCATAGATTGGAATAATATCATAGTGATATGACAAGAACACACAACAATGGTAACAATACAAACTGACAGTAAGGGCTGCTGAGTATGGGCCGGGCAGTGTGTCGAGATGGCACTTTTACCATGTCCTTGAATCCTTACAGTCAC